TTTAAACCATTCACGTTCAGTGTGACTATTGAAAGGTTAGGTTTTATTGCTATCATTGTGTTGAGTTCTTTTTGGTGTTGTTGCTAGTTACTTTAGACCATGGAGCTTTCTGTGGTATATCTGTAAGAAGGACATCTCTGAGTTTCTCCTGCAGTGCCTTTCCATATTCTTTTGATACCTCCTGGATCATTTCATATTCTGCCTAAAGCACCAGGGATGTATTCTTTCTCCATACCTTTTCAATCTGTATGCAGAACAGATCATCCAAGACACTGAGCTATATGAAGAGGAACGTGGCATCAGGATTGGTGGAAGAATCATCAACAACCTGCGTTATGCAGATGACACAACTCTGCTTGCTGAAACTGAGGAGGACCTGAAGCGCTTGCTGCAGAAGATCAAGGACTACAGCCTCCTATGTGGACTGAAGCTCAACATCAAGAAAACAAAGATTCTAACCACTGGGCCAATTGGCAGCATCAGCATGGATGGAGATGAGATTGAGATAGTTAACAGTTTTAGTTTACTTGGCTCCAGAGTCAACACTCTTGGTAACAGCAGGCAGGAAATCAAGAGATGAATTGCATTGGAAAAGTTGGCTGTGAGGGACCTCTCAAGAGTGCTGAAGAGCAACGATGTCAGACTGGAGACTAAGGTGCACCTCATCCGGGCTATAGTCTTCTCAAATACGTGCTATGCATCAGAAAGTTGGACAGTGACTAGGGTTGATAGAAAGAGAATTGCTGTCTTTGAGCTGTGGTACTGGAGAAGAGTGTTGAATATATCATGGACTGCTAGGAGAACAAACAGGTTTGTCCTGGAGAAGGTGAAGCCAGAATGTTCCCTGGAGTCAAGGATTCTGAAGCTTTGTCTGACATATTCTGGGCATATTGCAAGGAGGGACTGGTCCTTGGAGAGGGACATCATGTTTGGCAGAGTGAAGGGGCAGTGAAGGAGAGGAAGACCTTTGATGAGATGGATCGATTCTGTGACTAGAGAGGTGGGAATAAGTGTGTTTGAGATGGCTAGGTTGGCATAGGATAGAAGAGTGTATAGAGCTCTTGTACATAGGGTCGCTATGAGTCGCAAGCGACTCAATGGCACATAACAACAGCAACAACAACAAAGCATCCTTGATTATAGCAACTTGAGGTTTGAATTTGTTCTTCAGTTCCTTGAGCTTAAGAAATGCTGAGCGAGTTCGACCCTTTTGGTTTTCTGACTCCAGCTTCTTGCACATTTCATTGTAATATTTTACTTTGTAATCCTGCACTGCCTTTTGAAATCTTCTGTTCAGCTCTTTAGTATCTTGAATTCTTTCTTGTGCTTTGGCTTCTCTGCGCTCCAGTGCAATATTCAGAGTTTCTTCTGACATCCATTTTGGTCTTTTCTTCCTCTTCTGTCTTTATAAGGAACGTTTGCACTCTTCTTGGATGATACCCTTGATATCCTCCCACAACTCATCTGGTCTTCGTTTATTAGTGTTCAAGGCCTCAAACCTGTTCTTGAGATGGTTCTGAAATTCAGGTGGGATAGACTCAAAGTTATATATTGGTTCCCATGGATTCAGTTTAATTTTCCTCAGCTTCAGCTTGAACTTGCATATGAGTAGTTGGTGGTCTGTTCCACAATCAGCCCCAGGCCTAGTTTTCAAAGCTGATATTGAACTTCTCCAGTGGTTCCTTGCGCAGATGTAATCGATCCAATTCCTATGGTCTCCCAAATGGAAGGGGAACATATGACCACTGCCTACCACTGTCTTCATAGAAAAGGACAGTGAATAATAAACATCGGTGTACCACCACTACATTAAGAAAGCAAATACTAAAATGGTACACACACACACACACACACACACACATACTCTTTCCATTCAACAGATATTTTTTGTATACCTTTTTTGTTTGCTTCCTTGTCCTTTTTTTGGGGGGTGGGTGTTGCTGGTATTTTTTTATTTTATATTTGTTTGCTTACAAAGTTTGCATATATAGAGTTTCACAATATTCTTTACTCATATTATGTTTCATACAATGAATTATGTTTTATAAAATTAATCACCATTGGACTATACCCATTATCACCCTGTCTTTTCAGATTTCCTACAGATCTTTTCCATTTCCTTCATCCCCACCTTCCATCCATCAAATTGTGCAACCCTGTTGGTTTCACACCTACTGATTTTCAACCCTCTGCTCCCTCCCCTTCTCCTCTGGAGTCCCCACACATGTTTTCCTTGTTATCCTTCTATTTTTATAATGTTAGTCTTATTTTTTTAAAAAAAATATGACTTTTATTATTCACTGGTTTACTTACAAAGTTTGTATACATTGTTTTTCACATAGGCTCTTTCCTATTTCCTTTACCTATCCCTCTCTCCACCCATCAAATCATGTGATGTTTTGATTAACCATCACCAACTCCACTCCCGCCCATCATCACACCTCTGCTCCTCTCCCATTTAGATCCTCATTCTACATTATATTTGGATACACATTCTACATTAATGGTCTTCTACAGTATTTAAGCAAAAGCTATGGAAATAATTTTCACAGAGGAAAATATTTGGATGGCCAACAGACACATGAAGAAATGCTCAAAACCACTGGCAATCTGAAAAATGCTAATCAAAACCACAATGAGAGATCATCTCATTCCAGTAGCAGTAGCAAAGTTTAACAGGAAAGCAAATAATAAACATTAGAGAGGAACTCTTATATACTGTTGTTGGGCTTGTAAATTGGCACAACCACTTTGAAAGGAAGTTTAGCATTTCCTCAGAGAGCTGAACATAGTTATGAATTCCATTTGACCCAGCTATTCCACTGTTTGGAATATACCCCAAGAAAATGAGAACTGAGGCACAGAGACTTGTATACCAATGTTCATAGCAGAGTTATTCATCATCACAAAAATGTGGGAACAGCCCAAATATCTAGACACAATCGAATGGATTGAAAATTATGGTACATTCACATGATAGAATACTATGCAGCACACAAGAGCAATGATTTTGTAAATCATTACCTAACTTGGTATGACTGGAGAGCCTTAGCTAAGTGAACTAACTTATAACATAAAGCATATATATTTTTTTAAATGGTGATGGTGATAGCAAATGGCAGTAATATTTTTTAATATCCCCTCGAAATTCCTCTGACATTTTAATGGTATGTGAAATTCCAAAATTTAAAAACCACTGGGAAGCATGCGTGAGGAATAAAGTTACACACCGTTTGTGGAAGAAGGATTATTCAGCCCTAGATCCAAGGCAAACCATGCTTCATGTTCTCCAGAGCACCCAATTAGCACAGAATCTTCTATCTTCTGTGTGTCCTGTCCAAGTTTACCCAGGAGCTTTTCCAGCTCTAAGAAATAGAAAAGATAGAGAAGGGAGGAAAAGAAAGACATAGAGGCTTTAATGAAAACAAAATCTAAAAAATCAAACCAGTTGCCACTGAATGACTCCGCTTTGGACTCATGGCAACTCCATGTGTATCAGAGCTGAACTCTGCAGTCTTCTCAGTGGATGATTTTTTTTTGGATTGTAGTTGTTGTGTGCTGTCCAGTTGGAACCAACTCATAGCTGACCCTCTGGCTTGTTTTCAGAGGCTGTTAATCACATGGGAGGAGACTGTCCATCCTTCTCCCATGGAATAGCTGATGAATTCAAACTGCTTGCCTTAGGGATTATAGCTCAGCTTCTTGCCACTAGGCCACCAGAGCTCCCTTAGTTTCCTCAAAGTTTTATTCACAGGTACCTCTGGGTAGACTAGAACCTCGGACCTTTGAGATACCAGCTGCATATATTATGGATTTCTTAATCTAATATCCAAAGCCATGTGAGATAATTGTGGTGGGAAACATGGTAGGAAAACATCTATTTCCTTTGGAGCCAGTTTATCTGGCTTCTTCTAGCCGCTGCCCCTGGGGCCAGTTAATTACATCTTGGTTTCATTAAGGCCCAATTTCTCTCCAAATCAGTCTCCTCGTAAGTAACCTCAAGATTTTAGACCAAAGAAGAATTCCTTAGAGTTGTGACACCAGAATATAACATACTATCATGAAGGGAATATAGTCCCTGCATGCCAGCTCACTTACTAAGGCACTGAAAAGAATTTTCACATTTAAAATGATAGATATCAACCTGGTTCTATAATTCAGCCTCCAGATGATGTTACTTTTTTGCACCAGTGTAGAATACACATGTAAGACCCCAATCTGTTTAAACGAATGCTGCATGTAGAGAAAACCTGTCCTTCTGTGCATGAAGGGCTACATTTATCTGTTCATAAAACAGTGCAATAATGTTCAGTGTTTTCTGATGGAATTCTCCAACTTTTCTGACAGAAACTAACCGTCTAAGTGACCCATGGGGATCCACTGGAGATATGGTAGAAAGCAAAGAAGTCACAAAAGAAATTAATTTTATTCAGTTTTACCCTTCTAGGAAGAATGAACTAATTTTGAGACTCCTAGGAAAAATTATCAGAGAGCTGGACAATGACTAAGGATGACAGAAGAAGAATCAATTACGGTGCTAGAGAAGGGTCTTGAACATACCACGGACTGCCAAGAAAACAAATCAGTCTATCTTGGAGAGGGTGAAACCATGTTCCTCCTTGGAGGTTAGGAATTTGATGGTTCATCTCACATACTATGGGCACATGGCCAGGAGAAACTGGTCCTTGGAGAAGGACATCATGCTTGGAAGGGCGGAGGGACAACACAGGAGAGGAAGACCCCGGATGAGATGAATTGATACAGTAACTGGGGCAATGGGGGTTGGTGCATCAGAATTAGTGAGACTGGCTCAGGACAGGGCAGGGCTTAGAGTACATAGGGTCACTATGGGTCACAGATGATTTCGAGAAGTAGCATATAATCAAGAACAAATGACACTAAAGAAAGACCAAGGTACATCAAAGAGATTTGCAAAATTAAGGCTCCAGGAGTTGACAGAATATCAACTGAAAAGTTTCAGCAAACAAATGTAACCATGATGGGCTCATTTGTCTATACCAAGAAAATTGGAAGACAAGTTACTTAGAAGAGATCCACATTTGTGTAATTTCAAAAAATGGTCATCCAACAAAAAGCGGAAATTGTAAAATACTATCATTAATATCACGTGCAAGTAAAATCTTGTGGCAGATTACTTTAATATGGCTGGAATACTGAACATTGGAATATTGACAAGGAACTGCCAGACTTTCAAGCTGAATTTAGAAATGATTCAAAATGGAATAAATTGTACTTAATGGCAACAGGCTAGTTTATTTTACTGGTCTACTTGGGCTTACCTAGGAAACTATGCCTGGGAGCCAGGTATTGATGCTGATGCTCCAATTTCTGAAGTAAAGGAGCCAGGTTATGAAAGAGGTAAAATGCTCCTGTACGGTGGGCTTTTTTACATGCATCATCATCTTCCTTCAGTTCAAATATATACCTGTATTGGGGAAATAAAATAAAAATGTTACAAAATCACATTTAATTAGTTGAAGAATTCTACTCTCATCTCTCTCCTACCATGGTTCTATTCCTTCTTTTTTAATTCTAACTTGTTCCAAAACCTAACTGAGGTGGTTTCATGCAATCATTTCCTCCTCTCTCCTACTGTGTATCATGTTCATACTTCTATGGTCACACTTACTCTACTTCCTGCCTTTCTTACCTCACTATTGTTGATATTGTTGTCACTGACTATCAATTCTGACTTAAAGCAATCATATTTATAACAAAGCAAAGGGCTGCCTTATCCTGTACCGCCTCTTGGTCATTGGTATAGGTAAGCGCATTGTTGTGGTTATTCCATTGTGCCTTCCAGCGTTGGAACCTCATCTTCCAGCACCATTTTGGAATATATCCTGTGTGTCACAGGTCTTTACTGGCTAGTTTTCAGAAACAGATCACAAAGCCTTTCTTCCTAGTCTCTCAGAGTCTGGAAGCTCTCCTGAAACCTGCCCATCATGAGTGATCCTGCTGGTATTTGAAATACTGGTGGTGTAGCTTCCAGGATCATAACAACACACAAGCCACCACACTATGAAAAACTGACAGACAGGGCTGGCCTGCAAGACTGTGCTTCTTAAGGACACAGGGTTTGCCTTACCAAGTTGTGTAATTAGCATAGTTAATGGCTCGATTCAATAAATATTTACTAAGTTGACCTTCAAGGGTAATAAATATTTACTGACTTGAACTTCAAGGTACTCTGCTAATAATATACTATGAGGCAAGAATTTACATCCAGTGGAGCAGAAGGGAAACAAATGATAAAACATTAACCACAGACAACCTAGCAGCAAGTGCATGCTGTACCACAGCAGACAAAGCCACACAACTCTGTCTTCAGTCATTGTTTCACTCAGTCTATGGAAAATAAAGAACAAATCTTATCCTCAATGAACCATTGTTTCAAAATGTACATCTATCTTTATTGTCCTTATCCTTGTCTCTGTTGAATGGATAACTGACAGGCAGGTGAAATGCACATCTGACCTGTGTAGTAAGAATAATATTTCTGGTAGCCAAAATAATATTTTTGGTGGCCCGGTGGACAGAAAGTGATGCTACCAAGCCAAAGGTGGGTAACTTTTAATCCGCGGCCCTCAGACCTATCTTTCATTGTTTTTGTTCAGACATTCCTCTAGGTCATATAGCCCTGGTGTACAAGTTGCCGTACAGCGGTAATTGTGGTTGCTGTGAGGCTGAACACTGTGACACTGATGTGTAAAATGCGTTAATGGTTGGTTACCCAATGTGGACACAGAATGGGGTGGAGCTCCCTGATTAAAACAAGCTTTGAAGGAGGAGTGGCATCCACTTCTGTAATAGCTTGCCTCCGGAAACCCAATGAACCTGGAGAGAGGATGAAAGACACCCAAGCATTGAGGACTCTCCTTCACAGGGTCGCTATAAGTCTCCTGCGACTCAACGGCACTTAACAACAACAACAAACAACAGCCAAAATAATACTTAGAAAAAGAGAATATTCTATAATTGGCTTCTCTAATAGACCACAGTCTTTGCAATTACGTGCTATGCATCAGAAAGCTGGACAATGACTAGGGATGACAGGAGAATTGATGCCTTTGTGCTGTGGTGCTGCAGAAGAGTTGATTGTACCATAAACTGCTAAGAGAACAAACAAGTTCGTTCCAGAGAGGGTGAGACCAGGCTGCTCCTTGGCAGCAAGGATTCTAGGCTTCGTCTGACATACTTTGGGAATGTTACAAGGAGGGACCAATCCTTGGAGAGGGACATTATGTTTGGGAAGGTGGAGAAACAGTGCAGGAGAAGAAGACTTTTGATGAGATGTACTCAGTGACTGGAATAATGGGGGTAGGTGTATCAGAGACGGTGAGGTTGGCTCAGGATAGAGCAGGGTTCAAAGCTGTTGTACATAGGGTCATTATGAGTTGCAAGCGACTCGATGGCACGTAACAACAACAGCAAAAGACAGTGTAGGAGCAAGTTCTGTATCTGTCTTCTCAAGAACTTTCGGAATCCAGTCAGGACTGTTCAATGTGACGCAGTGGAATGAATGTGGAATTTCCTTCTAAGAACTTGGTAACCATTATTGCCTACTCAAAACCCCAAAATGGCCTCTTGGGCATATGGCAGATATCTGTCTCTTAAGTGTAACCACAGTTGAGAGATACTCTCTGTGGGATCTTGGAGTTTTTAAAAAAAATAAAAACCAGTAAGCAGAACAATTGGTTCAACATGAAGATACAAACCAAATCAAAGCAAAAATGATAAAAGCCCCAGTGACATCATTATGAACCTATATGGCCTGTCTGATGAGAGAAGATAGTGAGCTCTTTAGAACAGAAGACAAAAGAAACCCGAGAGGTTAAGATCCAGGGTATTTTTAAACTTATTATGAGTGACTGCAGCTTCCTGGGGGAAATACCCAATGTATGTCAAAGGAGAGACACTTGCCGCTCAGAAGTTTCCAAATAATAAATAATAGAATAAGCACCACTGCCTTCTCAAAGAAAGGGGGCTGGGAGAAGGTACAACCTGTGCTTTGCCCTAATGACCCTAACAAGCAAAACACGTAACAGAAACACCCGGGTGAAGGTGTCAGACAGGGACCTCACTAGAACTGGAGTTCAGATCCCAGAATCCCTTATGTTCTCCTTGATCAGAAGCTCTATTTTAAAAAATTAATCTTCCTCCATTAGTTATTAGTGTGGGGACCACAATACTAAGATTGGAGAGGCTAAAGATATTTATTACTAAATGTTCACTGTTCTTTCTTAACATAAAAGTAAAAACATTGTCATTCTATAAAAGTTTTACAAAATACAATTAGTAAATAAGAAAAGAAAAAAATACCAGTAATTCCACCATTCTTGGAATTCTCCAATTTGTTTATTAATATCATGCATCTACCCATGTTGTTGTTGTTGTTAAGTGCCATTAAGTCAGAACCAACTAACAGCTGACCCTCCAGTGTTTTTTTCTAGAGGCTGTAAATCACATAGGAGGAGAATGTTCATCTTTCTTCTGCAAAGCAGCTGGTGGATTCAAACTGCCAGCTTTTAGACTGACTGCACAACTCCTTACCATTAGGCTAGCAGAACTTCCTTACAGAGGTGTATATTATTTGAAGTTATACTTTTATAGTCTTTTTTTTCCTTAAACATGTATAAATTTTTTCTCATATTATTACTAATTGATAGGATTGCTTTTTCTCATGATTTTGATTCCTTCTTAATACATTAATTTCTAAATGAATTTTTATAGTCTTATTTTTAAACTCTATCCAGTCAGTAACTTTTGTTATAATTCTCAGTCTGAGAATTGCAGACAACCTAACTGTCAAATAATACATAAAATACTTCTTGCAATTCTGCTTGCTCACTCACTCACACAAGATAGCATCCTGGGCACTTTTACACCTTAAAATGGGAACTTACATCCCCTAGAGCTTTCTTTGTGCAAAGGCCTGGTTGTGAGTTAATCTTTCCAGAGAGTTTTTATTTCTGCTTCTACAAAGTGCCTAAGAGGTATTATCAGTCCAAGACTACTATTCAAATGCATTTCATAGGTTCGGAGTTCTTGGGCCACATGACGTAAGTGGTAGAAGTTTAAATTCCAGTATGAGAGCAGGCTGGTAGTTTCATATCCACAGTGGGAACTTCTTTCCCTGCTGACCCGCTCTTCTTTCCCTCCTCTGGTCCGCCTTTCTAGGGAACTCTGGGGGTCTAGGCTATGGAAAGATACACTACTAACACAAAGATTCTGCTTCTCTGACAGTTTGGATCTATCAGGGGCTACCTGGGGGGAAAAAAGATGGGCAATATCACAAACCAATGTAAAATTTAAAAGGGAATAAAAAAGTGGGCAATCCCCTCCCTTTCCATTTACAGCCTCACCAAAACCTTGATGGCAATGACAGCCTCTACTTCTCATCAAACTCTTTGGAGAGTCTTAGGGTTATTTACCTTATTTCCTGGAAATGTCATGATAAATTATTCAGCATAGTTTATATTTTATTTTACTATTTTTTTGTTTGTGTACTGTGAAATCAGATCTTACTGGTACAGGAGATTTCCCCTCCTTCTCCAGCAGAGCATCAGGTGGATTTGAACCTCACTCCTCTGAGATTGCACTGCAGCTTCCTGCCACAAGTCCACCAGAGCTCCCTTCAGCATAGTTTTTAATGTGCTTATTTTTCTATCATACAGATGTGTTAAAATTTAGTTAATTTCCCCTTAATGTTCATTCACTTATTCAACAATTTATTTATTTATTTTTGTTATGGGCCATTAAGTTGAGTGTGACTCATAGTGACCTTAAGAACAACAGATCTGAACCCTGTCCGATCTTGTGCAATCCTCACAGGAGAAAGTATTCAATAATACTTCTATTTATTACATGGAATAAGTACACGGAAATTTTCCATAGTGGAAAAGAAAAAGCTCTTTTTTTTTTTTAAATTTAAATTTAGGTTGTTTATTTTTCATTTCAATGAACATCTACAGAGATTTTGGGATTCCATTCAGTTGCACCCTTCTCCCCGCACAAACCCCTCCCCCATCCCCCCCATTTGCTCCTCTCCTTGAAAAGCAAAAGAAAAACTCCCTCATTGGTACACAATCCCCCCACACACACCTCCCCAAACCCCACCCCCTACCCCCAAATATAATCCACTCTGCACTTTAATAGCACTTATATTCTAGCGTGTGAAACATTTTAGATAGATTCTTGGATATTTGATATTCTAGGTTGTTCACCATAACTTGCTATGGTTATGATCCACACAGTAAATATCTTTGCATAGTCAATAAAGCGTAAATAGACATTCTTTCTGTATTCTTTACTTTCAGACAAAGGATCCATCTGACAACAGCAATGATATCCCTGGTGTCATGGCCTCTTCTAAATCCTGCTTGAACTTCTGGAAGTTCCTAGTCCAGGTATAGTTCTTGAATGATCTTTTGACTGATTTTGAATGATCTTCAGCAAGTGATATTAATGATACTGTTCAATATCTTCCACATTCTGTTGGATTTCCTTTCTTGACAATGGAAACAAATATGAATCTCTTCCAATCTGTTGGCCAGAAAACTGTCATCCAAATTTCCTGGTAAAGATTGGTGAGTGCACCCAGGTTTGCCAACTGTTAATTGTAACAAGTCTACTGCTAACAAGTTACGACTAACATTGAGAAGAATGGGAATCCCAGAGCACTTGATTTTGCTTATTTAAAACCTACACCTAGACCTGGAGGCTATTGCGGAAACAGAGTAAGAAAACACTACATGGTGGCTTAAAATTAAGAAGGGAGTATGTCAGGGTTGTATTCTCTCTCCATACCTATTCAGTTTGTATGCTGATCAAATTATTTTGAGAAGCTGGACTCTATGAGGAGGAATGTGGTATCAGGATCTAAAGAAGACTAATCAATTACCTGTGTTATACAGATGACATAACCTTGCTTGCTGAAAGTGAGAAGAACTTGAAGCACTTGTTGCAGAAGATCAAGGAATATAGCTTTCAATATGAATTGACTCTCAATGATTCAGGCCAAGGTCTTCCTAATCACTTGCTATGCATCTGAGAGCTGGACAATGAACAGGATGACAAAAGAATTGATATCTTTGAGCTGTGGTGTTGGAGTAGAGCACAGAACATCCCATATAGGGCCAAGAGAACAAACAAGTATGTCTTGGAGAGGATGCAGCCAGAATGCTCTTTGGAGGCAAAGATGATGAGGCTTTGCCTCACATACTTTGGGCATGTTGCTAGGAGAGATTATTCCTTGGAAGGGGACAAGATGCTTGGAAAGGCGGAGGGTTGGTGAAGGAAAAGAATTTTGATGAGGTGGATTTACACAGTGACTGCTACAAGGGGCTCCAGTGTGTCAGGTAGTGAAAGGATGGCACAGAATAGGACAGCTTTGTTGTTCAAAGGGTCACTTTAAAGGTCATACTTGATAGCACCTAAGAACAACAGGTTGTTAGCAACTTTTGCAGTTATAAATAATCTGTATTAAACAGCCTTATAATTAAATTCTGGTAATCTATCCTTAGTCCTTAATTTTGGATTGCTGAGAAATTTACATTTTAGTTTTAACGGGGCAAAGGCAGAATAACTAGAGTTTAATGTGGATAAACTCACCTTGTCTTAGAGATATAGGTTGACAGCAGCCTATAGCACCAAAAAGACTTTCTCCTGCAAGCTATTCCACAATAAAGGGACATTGTCATTCCTTAGAGAAAAAAGTTAAAAAAAAAAAGTCATAGTACGCAATTTAAAGTAATGAATCGCCAAACCAAAAAACCAAACCCACTGTCATCAAGCTGATTCCAGCTCATAGTGACCTTGCAGGACAGAGTAGAACTGCCTCCCTGGGCTTATAAGGCTGTAAATCTTTATAGAAGCAGAGTGCCTCACCTCTCTCCTGAGGAGCAGCTGGCGCATTTGAACTGCTGATCTTTTGGTTAGCAGGTAAACTAACAGCACCATCAGAGCTCCTTAATGAATCAGCAGTCGAGTCATATTTTAAACCAAGATAGGATCACTTTGTAATAGTAGAGAAAAAGTAACTGAATGGAAGTCAGGTGGTCTGGTTTCCACACTACATGTCTATACCTAAGTAGCTGTGGGAACTTAAACTTTCAGTACTTTTGTTCTATTCTACAATACAGAAACCTACTCTGCCTACCTAACAGACTATTGTGAGTGGCCGCTAAGTATACAAACAGATTCTGTACTCTTTTAAAGTATGGAGGTGTTGCTGGTAGGTGGCTTCTGAACCAAGGCTGGCCTGCATTTCTCTCTTCCCTTGAGTATCTAGACAGATAAGTGATGATACCAGAACTTGGTTTTATCAGTGGAATGTAAGCTGATGTGATGTGCATCTTTTCTAGGTCTAACCAGCTAGGAAATGTCTATGCTTTGCTCATCCTCTTCTCCCCTTCCACTTGGAAGTCTTTCAGGGACCATAAGAAATGGACAAGGCTGGGTCCTTGAATCACGACAAAGAAGAAACCTACCATCCAACCACAGACATCAGACTGTTTGTGAGTAAGATATAAACTTACATCTTATTAAGTGACTGCAATTTTTTAATTATATTTACATTACCAGCAGTTAGTCCTGGTAGCACAATGATTAAGCACGTGGTTACTAACTGAAAAGTCAGAAGTTTAAATCCATTAGCAACAACTCCAGAGTAAAGACATGGCAATCTGCTCCTGTAAAGTGTCATAGCCTAGAAAGCCTTGAGTAGCTCTCCTCTGTCCTAAAGGGGCCATGAGTTGGGATCAATTCCAAGGGACACATACAATACCACCACCATAATCCTAATAGACTAAGCAACATGTAAGCTTGGGAGAGTCTCTAGAGTAAAGGAACCAAGTTCTCAAAATACATGAAAACCCATGTTTCTCAAAATACATGAAAACCCATGTTTCTCTAAAAATGAAGTAGGAGGAACCCTATAGAGAAGAAAAATATAAAACTAAGGCCATTAGGGAAATGTGTTTCAAAACACAGCTGTCTGCAAATCAGCATGGGTCCAAGATATTTTCTAATTTTTGGAGCTCATTGAGTGGGGGGTAAAATATTCTGCATCTTTACCCACTTAATGGAAGGTGGTTCTTTCAACTTGTATTTAAAAAACAAAAAACCAAAAAATTCATTGCTATCCAGTCGATTCTGCCTTGTAGGGACCCTCCACAGGGTTTATGAGGCTATAAATCACAAAGGGCAGATTTCTCCCTTAGAGCTGCTGGTGGGTTCAAACTACCAAAAATGTGCAGACTGGTGTAGTAGTGCAATTTGTTACATACTATGCTACCACAGCTCCCTCTTACACTGTCTATTTTCACCATATTTTCTTCCTTATGAAAAGAATCTTTCACGTTGCAATAAAAAGTCAAGATATTATACTGGGGGGAAACATCAGAGGAAGCTTAACTCTTTTAACTGTACCCAAGGGAAGGAAGTTTGACGCTAAGCTATGAAGGAATGTCTAATATTTAGGCCTACTTCTTGGTTGCATAATTTATGACTAACTGATGACTAATCTTTGTGCTGTTTTGGCTGGAATCTATGTCCTAGTCAAGGAAGAAATATATTTAGCAAATGGCATTCAACAAAATGGTTTATTGAATATCTCCTTTATGAAAGTTCCTTAAGAGATTAAAAAACGTACAGGATAAAAATCCCTGCTCTAAATGAATTCAAGCAGGAGAGAGAAAACACATACATAACATTCACACACATGTGATACATATATAATGTTCACAGATGTGATAAATCCTGTTAGGTTAAAAGGACACTGTTGTTGTTAGATGCCATCAAGTTGGAATTGACTTATAGCTAACCCTCCAGCGGGTGTTTAAATTCACAGATGACCATCCAGAGGGTATTCAGAGGTAGCTAATCTCATGGGAGGAGATTGCTCATTTGTTTACAGAACAGCTGGTGGGCTTGAACCATGTGCCTTTGGGTTGGCAACACAGCTCTTTACCACTAGGCCACCAGAGCTCCCTAAAAGCACACTTATTGTTGTTTTTAGGTGCCATCGAATCAAAGACAACTCCCAGTGACTCCATGCACAACAGATCTGAACCTTACCCTATCCTGTGCCATTTTTATCATCCCTGACACACCAGAATATTAAATATTAAATTCAATATTAAATATTAAAGTTACAGACTCTAATAATCCAATGACTTGTATGAAATACTGGCAGAATTTTTTAAATATTTTTATTGGTTTGCATATAGTCATTCATATACATTATATTTTGTACACATATTTTATACAATCATTCATGGCGGAAATGTTTTTTAAAATCACTATTTCTACCTCAGACACAATTCTGATCATGTTAATTGGTATAATAATTTTGGGGGGCAATTTGGGAATTCTGATCAAAATATTAAATAAGTAATCCTTTCTTTCACTTAAATGGTTCCATTTCTAGGAAGTTATCCTAAGCAGGAAAGGAAATAAACAAAAATGTTGGCTGACAGCAAATGAGCCTCAGCCCTGCTCTCATCAAAGAGTGTATTTTAGAAAGCATATTTGCTATTTTTTTAAAAAATTCTTATTTTTTATGCGTGTACTGTCAAATCAGATCTGACTGATACAGAAGGAGATTGCCCCACCTTCTCCAGCAAAGCATCTGGTGGATTCGAACTACGTACATCTAGAATTATAGTGCAGCTTCTTGCCACTAGGTCACCAGAGCTCCCTTATATTTGCTATTATAAAAAAAGTTAATGAAAATGATGATATAATGGAGTAAAAAAAAAAAAATAAATAATAATAGCTAAAAATAAATTGAGAACAGTAAAAATACATGTATGTCATAACAGAGAAGGATGCTTAGTGTATATTAATCCATTTTTGAAGAGGAAATAATTTGACAAAATCCAATTAATTTCACATAAAAGCATATGACATAGACATACTAGTATAATTTCATTACATAAGTATTAATATCTTTTTAAATGACTAGACATATACACACTGATTCATTTGAGGGAGTGGGATGCAGACAATGATTGAAATGGGTGTTTTAAATTTTTCATTGTATCCATTTCTGTACTTGAAAAGTATTTTTTTCAATTACCTGTATATACTCCTTTCATAACAATAACTAAAAAATATATTAAAATAATTCCAGGTACCAACTGCTTAATTAGGCTAGTGTCAGGTTACTTTTCCCAGAAATAACATTTACCACAGTCCTTAGGAGCCAAAGGGAATTCCTTGGATGAATTCCTTGGATCCTGAGAACAGTGAGAGCCATTTGGTTGGTAGTCATGGCTACTGACTAATCTCCTGGCTATGCGCTTGGCTGCCTGCTGTTGTGCATAGTTTCTGCTACTAAACTAACATTAGGCCATTGCGGGATTTGAACGGCATGCTGACTCATGAATCGGCTGTCACAGAGCTTACAGAGGAGTCAAAGCAGACACGTTCTTAATGTAGTTTTGAAAGTGCCAACACTCAAAAGGAAAATCAGACATATTAACTGTGAATTGTGCTTTGGTGCTACCACCACAAATCCAGTAAATGAAGGTTATTTCTAATTCCTTTTCTAAACGGTCTCTTGCTATCTTTACTCATATCTTTTACAAAAGTTATACAGACTACCTGAAAGTCAGAGAAGAGAAAAACAATGTCCTTATAATTCTTCTTCAACTATACTTCTCTCTTTAAAATAGATCACCTAAGTTAGAAAAATGAGACAGAAAAAACCTGCAAATTCAACAACCTGTGTAAGAGGAAATTTCTCAGACAAGAAAAGCTTAAATTGGGCTGCCCTCAGCCCCCGGCTTGGGGCGAGCCATCGCGGCCCTCTGCCAGGGGCGGGCTGCCCTCGGCCCCCTGCCCGGGGCGAGCCGTCGCGGCCCTCTGCCCGGGGTGGGCTGCACTCAGCCCCCTGCCCGGGG